TTCACTTTGAGGGGTGAGTATGGGCAGCATGGATTAGGCAATCTGGAGGCTTTCCAGGCAAAAGGTAGTGCCAAGGAATAGGAGAGCCCTGGCTCCTGGTGGGTTGGCAGTCTCTCAAAGAGGGATGTGGCCAGGATAGGTGGCCTCAATCGGAAGGGGAAGCTGAAGTCCGAGCTCAACCTTCTCCCTGGCCACTTTGTCAGCTCAGGTCCTGATGATAAGCAGAAGCTCCATGTGCCTTGGTCTCTCCCTCTCTCCTTCCCTTCCCTCCCACCTCCTTTTGTACCCTTAGCAATCACTGTAGTGCCTCCTGTGTGTGAGATATGGTATTAGGTTTCGGGATCCTGAGATTAGCCTGAGCTCTTTGCTTAAAGCCTTAGAGCAGAAGGCAGATGTGAGCCAATCTTGTGCCCCAAGCTTTGTAGGTGCTGTAATGGTGTGTGTGTGTGTGTGTGTGTGTGTGTGTGTGTGTGTGTGTGTGAGAGAGAGAGAGAGAGAGAGAGAGAGAGAGAGAGAGGAGGAGGAGGAGAAGGTTTCTCTGGCAAACACCAGAGAGAATGGTCACAGAGTCTTTCTAGAGAAGGTGGTGGGGCTCGAATGAGAGAGAATTTGCTGGCGAGTGACCCGGGCTTGCAGAAGAGGGCATGATGGGGAAGGAAGGAGTGGTTCCAAGCCAGACAGAGCAGGAACAAAAGTGCAGTGATGTGCAGCAGTGTGCAGCAGCGTGGTGTTTGAGAGTCCCATGTCATTCATAATTGGTGAAGAGAAAAGAGCAGGGGCAGGGCCACAACAAGGGATGGGGCTGGGAGGGTGTGTGTGCCAGATCTTCCATGCTCAGAAGTCAGCAAAGAGGTTGAAGCAAGGAAGCAACATGATCAAATGTCCTTGTTGAGTTTCTGAGGTCACTTAAGTCATAGTAGATGGACTGGGCAGGGAAACTGCTTAGGAGACCATTGCCATTGGGTCCTGCTGGGCAGTCCTGAAAAGAATGGCTTTATTCTCACAGTTCTGCAGCTCACAGTAGGTAAGAAAGCATAATGGACGACTAGCAGATTTGTAAAAAGATGTCGCAACCTCTCACCACCCCAAGTAAGAGGGTTGTGCTTGCTGCACTCAGTTTGTGTGGATTACTCTAGACTTGCACTGAAGATAATTCCCATGAAACCACACAGAAGCAGCCTGCAGATCTCGTGCCACCCCTGCCAAGGAGAAGGATACCTAATGAAGACCCCACCCCCACCCTGAGACTCTGGACACATCCAAGATTGATTCTGCAGGTGGTCCCAGCTCAGTCCAGGCTTGTGATGATGATGGCATGCCCCTCGGAGGCCTGAGTGGAAACTACACAGGCATGCTGCTCTTGAGGCTGGTATCTCAGAGAAAGCCCGCTGTTTGCAGCCATAGAATTTTGGAGGGAGATAAGAATTCATTAAAAAAATGAGGATGGATACATAAACATCAATGGCATAAGGACACCGGGTTCAGAGGTGGGGAGATTAATCCCAAAGAAGGGGATTGCACTAGATTGTGGCTCTTCAATCAGCTGCATAGAACTCTCTCAGGGGCTTTTCTAAAAAACAAGGTTGTATGGGTTCTGCTGCTTGGGAGATTGGTGTCAGAACTGAGATCTGACATTTAAAAGCTCTTCAGTCAAAATTGGAAACACTGGTGCATCAGTGTGCTCAGTAAATACACTAAGAATAAATGTATCGCTGGGCTGATGCACCCCTACTCCATGATTCCAAGTATCCTCCAGGCTAAGAGATGCAGGAAAGAGGTGTTTCTGGAAGAATCCTTAAGGTTGCATCTCAGGAACCTATAACTGGTTATAGCTGACCTTTGAACAACTTGTTAGGGGCAGTGGAAAATCTGCATAAGAATAGTAGGTTCCACATTCTTGAATTTAGCCAAAGGATATCTGAGGATATCCGATAAGGGGTGCTTGAATGCAGAATGGGGAGGATAGGAAAAAAAATTGTCCATGTAAATGACCCCCTGCAGTTCCAACCTACTTGTCCAAAGGTCAACTGTAGTTTGGCAAATTTCCAGCTATTTTGCATGACTCCTGGGGAGAGCTTGGGGGCGGAGCAGCAGGAATTCCGCTTCCCACCCTTCCACAGCATCAGCTTCTAAGTTCAACTTCCATTTCAGAAAGGTGAGTTGGCTTTTGCAAAGTTCTAAGATCTGAATTACCTTTTTTTTTTTTCGGTTGAGAAAACGAAAGTAGTGCAGAAACATGGAGGAGAGACTTGCCTAGGGAAAGCCTGCCAGCTCAGAAGGCAGAAGCACCAGAGAGGCAGCGGAGGGGCCCAGGGGCAGGACTGCGATTCAGGCCACCATCAGCCTCCTTGTGCATGCCTGGGGGCATGTGGGTGCAGAGCCTGGACTGAGACTCCCAGGGAAGCACCCAGTTATGGCCAGCAAGCTTAGCAGGAGACCCAAGGGGAATCCCCAGATTTGTATGTGGTCCCAGAGGTGAGAGACTCTTAACCTGACCCTTTAGTGAATAGTTTTGGGGTTCAGGTAGTGGGGTCTGTTGTGTGGAGTTCTTGAGTCCCTCTGAGAAAGAATTCAGCATTTGTTCCTTCTCATCAGCACATGGCAAGTTTATTAAGCAAAGGGAAAAAGAGAAATAGTCCGGGACGTCTGCATAGACACAGGTGGGCAGGGAGCTGCATTTTGCCAGAGCAAGGGGCGTTCTTTTACAGGGTTCTTTGATGGAATTATTGTGGAAATTATCACCTTGGTGTCAGGTTGGGTGGGTCTTCTGTGATTTATAATCCTCTCTGATTTATAAACCTCTGGCTGATAATCTTTTCTGACCCTGTCTCAGATTCCTGGAAACGTCCATAACCAGGATTTAGCTTAAGATTCATTAATCACCCCATCTCCACCTTCGGTCTTTGTCCTTGTGAGACCTTCATCTTGCGTTTTTCTGCTGTCAGCTTCCATCAAAGGGCTCTCCCTTCCACCCATCTGCACCAAGCTAAGACCCTGCGCTGAAGCTCTAGTCCAGGTCCCTGGAAGGCCCTTCTACAGGCTGATTCCGTGTCTTTCAGGGAAAGCATGCTCCCCACTATGACGCCTCCATTCCTTTACGTCCCCACTCGCACATTGCACTGAACTAATTAGGGTTCTGTGTTGTAATATGTTTTGTTTTAGATAATAGTAATTTAAATTTTCTGTCTATGGTCATATAAAAAGTTTGGATGCTGAGAAGGTGCCCAGAGCTGGGAGAACAGGGTCCTGGAAAGACCCTGGTGGCTCCTTGTAGCTCCCAACCCCTCCAGCGGCTCTCTGCAGCCACTCCCCAGGGGCCTGACTGTGGACAGCCTCAGCATCGCCACTTCTGCGGTCGGTGCTGTGATGACTCACCTCTTACACAAGGAAAGGTTAATAACTTGCCCCCTGTCAAGTGACTGGATGTAGTGGAGCTGAGACTCAACACCCAAGAGTCTGACTTCCAGGTCCTTACCTTTAAGCATTATTTTATGCACATTGCTGCTGGTGGGGTCTTCCTGAAATACTGCATATGTAATTCCCAACATTGCTGTCAGTGGTTCACTATAATTCATAATGTAAAGCATCTCAGCTTAGCATTCAGTGCCTTCCACCATCCATAGTGTACCTGGAGGATGCCCAGATACTATCGTTTCAGCCAATGAGCATGCTCTCCATGCTCCCATCCAATTAGAACCCACCCTCTCCTACTTTAAGCCCCTAGCTTCCTCATTCCCATGGGTGTTTTGCTTTCTCTGTGATGTCTTCCTTTTTGATACTCACTGTTCATGTCCCCTGTTTAGTATCTAGCCTGGATTGTGTTTGGTTAATGAACTTTTTTTTTAAAAGATTTTATTTATTTATGATATAAGAATTGGGGTACAGGCCAGAGGTGCAGGGATTCACCAGAGACAGAATGGGGAACAGAACAGGCAGACTGACCAAAATACACTGCTGAGGGGAGCAGGGGGTAAGACAGGAGAGGTCTGCTGCACCATGGGGGTCAGCTCCCCGGCCGCGATCGAATGTGCTGCAGCGGTTGCTGATAGCAGCCCCTTGTGCCACCAGGGAGACCTTATTTATAGTTTTTCAAGTGAGTATTAAATAAAGGGAATTACCATGGAATAACTGTCACCTGGGTACACAGTTATGTCACTTAGCCCACAGTGGGTTTACCCCTTTTGGAACACACTGTCCTGGTGTCTTGTCTTCCCTTCTTACCCTTTCCTGATATGAAGTCTCCTCTGGCCAGGTTACTGGAGTTCAGGCTGGGCTCCTGTCTCCTAATGGGTTCCCGAGGCACTTTCAGAGCCACTTAGATGGTAAAGGAATTCCCTAGAAAGACTATAGGCATTTTCTTTTCTTTTTTTTTTTAAGATTTTATTTTTTTAAATTTATTTATACAAGAACCAGGGTACAGGCCAGATGCACGGGAAGATGAGAGGATTCACCAGAGACAGAGCAGGGAACAGAACAGGCAGACTGATGAAATACATTGCTGAGGGGAGCAGCGGGCGAGACAAGGAGGGGTCTGCCTCGCCATGTGGGACCCTCTCCGGCCGGCCGGGATAGAACCAGCACTGCAGAGGCTGTGGACAGCTTAACAGCACGGCGCTCAACTGCCTGCGCCACCAGGGGAGGCCCTACGGGCATTTTCTTTAAGAAGAGAAATTCAATTTTTATCTCTTCCCATGTCCAGGGCTTCCAGTTAAGATTTTGTTTGGGGAAAGGGTTAAATGGGTTTTCTCCAAAAGTGTGAAAACCATAGGACAAGTACCCTGGATAGACACTGCTTGGAAGATCATTTGTTTGTGTAACCGTTCATTCATGCATGTGTGCATTTAGTACTTCTTTGAGCTGCTCTTAGTTCTTCTAGCTTTGGGGTCAGAGAAACTGGCTTCTAGTATATCTTATTTATTGTAATGAAGGAAAATAAATATCTGAGCAGCATGAGCTGAAACCATGCCAAGCACTATTCCAATTCTCTTCCATCAACCCAGGTTGAGAGTAAGCCTTTGGTTCAAGCCCAGAAGCTACCTACCAAGATCAAGACTCTCAAAATGACCCAATTTTTTCATAAGGTAGGAAGTGATGCCAGTGTCTTTTCTCTAGCAGAGGCTGAGGGTAGGTGGGTGGCCAAGGGAAGCTTGGCATAGGCATTTTGGGTCAACTCATCATAAAATGATGAGCTCCATCCATGTCATCATCCTTCCTCTCCATGCAATTTCAAGGACTACTATTCTTTGAGAGTCAGTCTGCTTCTCTCCTAATCAGTCATCAATCAATCAGTGCAGGGGTGCAAGGACCCCAGTGAGTAGGTCAAGTCAGTCATGGAGAGGAAAATGAAACAAGAGCTTATGTGGCATCAAGGAAGAGTTGCACATGTACCAGAAAGAACTTTCCCCTGTTAAGCTGGCAAATAAAGGAATGAAGATAATAATGCCTAGGTGTATGGGCTATTTTACCCAGGTTGCCTCATTTACCTCTCAAAACCTTATGAGGTAGGTCCTATTTTTGTCTCCATGGCAGTGATGAGATAACTGAAGCTTAGAGAAGGAGCTGGTGGGGCCTGTTTTAGTTCTATAGACTCAAAGTCTGTCTCCTTGGGCACTCTCTTTTCCAAGAATTTGCAAAATAGATTTAAGACTAGATTTGGTTTAGACTCATCCTTGCCGTGGACAGAGGATTGGAAGAAATGTCTCTCTACAGACCTTTTCTCATCCAAGGCATCTGTAACTTCCCTCATTTCTCCTCTTACAGAAGACAAACACCAGTGTTACGTCACTTCCTTTTGCAAATCCCAAACCGAAGAAGAACATGGTTAAATTCCCTCGTATTGGCAATAAACTCCCGCTCAAGCCACTCCTGGTGCATCAGGTGAGTGCTGAGGAGCAGCGGGCCTGGGAAGACCTGATCTCAGCCTGGAAAGAAGTTTAGAAAGGCCCGGGGCAGTGGGGAAAGACAGTGTCAGCCAAGGAGCTGGGTGCTTCATTCTCTTCTCGCTCTTTACAATCAATGTAAATGTCAACAAATAAGTTGGTGAAGCTCTCTTACCTGCAAAGCAAGTCCTCTGCAGGCTTTCCATAAGGGTTCATTGAGAGAAGGAAAAAGAAAAGGTCTGGTGTATACATGGTAAAAGCATCCCAACTGTTTATAATTCCCTACCGAGTCCCTTACTTTTTTTGTAAAGACCAAATGAGATCATGTGAGAAGGTGCTAAGGAGCGGGCGGGGAATGCAGGAATAAGTTCAAGTATTTGAACTAAAGTGTCTTTGGGCAAGTCCTGTGTGTTGGAATTGGCCTCAAGACCAGCAGAAACTGTTCCCATCTTACTGCCATTGTCACATATGGTCATGCATGAGGGTCTCACAGAGAGGACCCTGAGTCAGACGGATGCTTCTCTGGGGAGAAAGACTCAGAAAATCTACTGTCTCGGAATTACCATTTTTTCCTGGGTTAGGGAGGAGAAGCTGGACACGTGTGTCCCGGGTCAGCCAAATGGTCAACGACTCCCAGAGCAGTACAAGCGGTCCTTATTGCAAGTCTCTTTCCCTGGACAGGAGACTCAAACTCACAGACAGATGTCAGCCTTTGGGTGTAAGCTTTCAGAAAGGTCTTTCCCCTCGAACATTAAAACCCAAGATCCCGAGTCAGAGGAGAAAACACCGAGGAAGCATAAGATGCCTCTGACATCGGCAGGTATGGCTGGGGGGCTATAGAGGGGATGGTGGGGCGTGGTATTAGCTGGACTGGGCTGGGCTGGAGTGGGTAAAGTTGCTGGCAGTTAGAGTGGCTGGTTAGGGCAGCAAGCCAAAGGAAAAGGAATAGTTCAGCTGGTCACTTCCGGTGATGCTATAGGCTAGGGGCTCAGGAGAGGACTCTGAAGCTCATCTGTGCCAATTACCCGAGGCTGGACAAAAGGTTCCTGGCTTTTTTTTTTTTTTTTGAAAAGATCTATTTATTTATGCATACAAGAGTTGGGGTATAGGCCAGAGGTCTGTGGTGGGGGGGTACGGGTGAGAGGATTCACCAGAGATAGAGTGGGGAACAGAACAGGCAGACTGACTGAAATACATGTGGGTGAGGCAGGAGAGGTCTGCTGCGCCATGTGGGTAGCTCCCTGGCCAGCCAGAGAATTGAACTCGTGCTGCAGTGACTGGCGATAGCTTGATAGAGCTGTCTTTAACCCTGCGCCACCAGGGAGGCCCTGTTCCTGGCTTTTTAAGGGAGAAGAGGGCCAGGGAAATGGCTAGGAGTGGAAATGTACTGAGCACCAAGTCAGGGTAGAGGGAAATGTCTGTGGATAAGGAGGTCTTGGCAGGAGCACCTGAGGCAGCCTTTGAGTAGAAGCTCCTGGATTAGGAATGCAGGTGAGGGTAAGGGCTGGGCCAGGCAGAGCAGCCTGAGTCCTTGACTGTCACTCTTAGGAGACTAGAATGATACTGGTGTGAGGTGGCAGCTCCCCACTCCACACCTGCTTCCTTAACCCCTATCCCTCACCCCCTGCCCAGACCTGCCAGGTAAAGTGTTTGTAATTGCCAAGGGTCATACCTAAAAGATCTCCTCAGAGATCCATAATCTGTGAGGGCTCAAAGCAAGAGAACCAATATCCACAGATAACTGGTGTGCCAGCACGAGCTGAGGCTTGGACCCATGCTTTCAAATCAGTTGTCCCTCCTCTGCTTGAAAGACCTCAGGAGCTCCCCATAAGGAGACCATTTTCATCCTGAGCTGGGTCTGCCTCTGCAGAGCCACTGTCTGGCTCCCTGTTCTCTTGGGCCTTGGTTCTATCCTCTGGGCAAAGAAGGTGCCTTCTTTGCCTTCCTCTTGAGAGCCCTTCACATAGATGAGGTCAGAGGTCTTTCCCCCACCCCTGATTCCCCATGCGCCCCCTCCATTGCTCCTCCCCATCACTTCCTTCTACTCTTCAGCAGTTTATCAAATAGCATGATGCTTCTCCCAGTCTTGGTTTCATTCCTTTGAGCCACTTGGGTTTATCTCCATCTATTAAAGTGTGAATTCCCCCCCCCCACCCCTAGACCAAACCCCAGAGCCCTGAGTGATTGACCAGGGCAGAGTAGAGAAGAGCACCCACATCTTTCTTGTAATCGAAGGGGCTCACTGGCTTACCTGGACCTTTAAAATCACATTTACGTTTTTTTCCTGATCCCTGAAGACAGAATAGTTGCAAACGCTCTGAGGTAGACTTAGTGTAGCCATTAACTCAGACAACTGCTAATTTAACCACCTACTATTGTTGCCACTAAGTTTACTCCTAGATTTTTTTAACCCATGCTGATGCAATCTGTAACTCTTTGGGGACAAAATTCTACCTTTCTGCACCTTTTTTTTTTTCCTCTTGATGTGTTGAAATCAGCACAAGACCTTGACATTCATCCTTGTTCTATTTCCCACCCTGTGAGATTGAGATGCCCAGCCCCCAGAAAGACAGCGAGTTGAGGAAAGCATTGACCAGCTCTTGATCTAGGAGGGATGCCATCATCTGCACCCTGGGTCCCTCCCGGGGGTGCTGCAACTTAACAGACAACCACAGTGCTTTTCCCACAGAGGCCCTCACATGTTTTAAGAACCAACTCTCTTCTTATGAGCAAAGTGAAATCCTGGGCTACACAGAGCTGTGGTTCCTAGGGCTTGAAGCAAAGAAGCTGCACATGAAACCTGAGAATTTCTGCAAGACAAGTTTCGATGATGAACATGGCTCCTACATGAAGGTGATGAAGGTCATGGTAACTGCAGGGCCTTGGACTTGGGGGGGGGCAAAAGAGAGTCTGTAAATAAAAAAGCTTGATGTTGTAGCTCATTCAGTGTTTATAGATGGAGGGCTAGGCACCCTAAAGTATTCTAGTAGTTGCTCAAACCAAAGAAATACCATGTTTAAAAATGGGAAAACACACAGTTACTATGCAAACCACTCAGCTCGCAGAACTTTCTCCAGGAGTGTCCGGGGGAGCAGGTGTGCACTTGGGGTAACCTCCCACAGGCTCCTCTTCTGCACAGTCTGGGGCACTTTGGAAAACACCAGAGTCTAAGATTAGAGGCAGTCTCTCCCCAACATTCCCTTTTGAAGTCTCCTCTGTAGAAGCCCACACGTGGGCCCTTTTTCATTTTGAAACAGACATCATTGCCCCACAGAACCAGTTGTCCTGGAGCGTGGGGCATGGCTTCCTCCAGTTTTCCAAAGAGAGACCGACCAACTCCCCCCCACCTCTTCTGACCTGCGCTCTGAGTGCCCCCAGCAGTGCCTCTCCCCCATCTGAGGGTGAAATCTGGGCAGTGGGAGTCCTATTCACTTCAGGAAGTGCTTTCCTCTTCAGAGGATGCCTGCATGTGTAATGTTTAGTGGACAAGCCTCGTAAGCTGTTGGGAATTTCTTCTCCTGGTTACTTCCCTTGAGCTCTAGGAGACAGGATTGTTCTCCCATGGCTTCCTAGGAGAAGGCAGCTTTTCTCAATAACATTTTAGGCAGTCTTTCTCAAACTTTACTCTGCACACAAATTTCTGGGATTTTGTTAAAAATATGGGTCCTTATCCAGTGGTGTTGGGGTGGGCCCGAGATTTGCCATTTTAAACAGCTTCCAAAGGATACTCATGGTGCTCGTCATTGGCCCAAACCTTAAGAAGCAAGATTTGGAATTTTTGACACCTGTCTTCTATCTAGAATCTTGGTTCTGAATGTTTTTAGGTGGGGAATCCCTTTGGGAGCCTGGTAAAAGCTATAAGTCCTCATCTCAGAAAGGTGCCCTGAACATGCACAAAATTTTGTGGTTGTTACTGGCTCCTTAGTTAAGAATCCCCAATATAAATTTAGCTCCAAAATAACCAGGTACCCTCAACGCCCACCTATGACCCGCACCCCCACCCCAAATTGGCATGTAGAACCTGGAAAGTTCCCCAAGGATATCAGCACTACCTGTAAATTAATTAACCATAATTCCATTCCTTAATCTCAAATCTTGGCTGTGTTTTGGTGCAGTGGGAGGGATAGAGTGCTCCTGCTGTGTGCTCAGAAGCTCCATCTGTGTACACGCAAGCATACGATGTGCATAGCTGAATTTTCACACAAGCAACAGAGCTGCATTCTCACGTTATTTTCTTAGCAATGTTTATCGAATACCTAATTATTCAAAGGTTAATTGAATACCTCTGTATTGAGAATCTATCATCATATGCAAAATTAAGCTGCTGCTCAGCTGCTTTCAAGAGACATGAAATGTCCCAACTGGAAGGGATAGTCAGGGCATCCAACCTTTGTATTTTCCAGGTTCCCACACATGTAGAAAACCAGAGGTGGCAGCAAGATAGGGACTAGGATGCAAGTTGCCCAGAGACATTGACATTTGCAGTGTCTGACACTGACGAAGCCTGTGGGACTTTCCCCGCACCACATGGGTGGCCTGGGACCTGGGCAACTGCCTAATCAGTGCAGCAGCAGAGGAGGGTGGGATCTGCACATGTGCCCAGGGCAGCTCAGAGAGTTCCCCCCAGGAGTCAGCCATGAACTGAGGATGGGTATCCAGGAGCCCTAGAGCTCAGGAAGCCCTGAGGTCTAGGGCTCTGCTCCTCACCCACGCTGGTCTGGCCTCTGCAGGTTCTGCATGACCACATTGCCTACCGCTACGAGGTTCTGGAAATGATTGGAAAAGGGTCCTTTGGACAGGTGGCCAAGTGCTTGGATCACAAAAACAATGAGTTGGTGGCCTTGAAAATCATCAGGAACAGGAAGAGGTGTGGCTTGGGGGATGGAGTAGGACACAGAAGAGGGATCCCACATAGCTCTGATCCTTTCATAATGCCAACCTTCTTTACCTGCCTCGTTCACTGATCTCTCTCTCTCTCTTTCTCTTCCTAGCCCTCACCCCCATCTAAGTCCTTAAGGAGGCAAACAGGAAGCAAACATATGGGGTTTTTAGTGCTTTCTGCCCCCCAGATAGTCCTGCTGGGGTCACGGGATGGGGTCCTGCAGCATGATGTGACACAGTGTCTTCTGTCCCTATTCCCCACCCTCCCTGCCGCCCCCCAATCACTTCAGATTTCACCACCAGGCCCTGGTGGAGCTGAAGATCCTGGACGCCCTCAGAAAGAAGGACAAAGACAACACCTACAATGTGGTGCACATGAAGGACTTTTTCTACTTCCGGAATCACCTCTGCATCACCTTTGAACTCCTGGGGTCAGCTGCTCTTTCATTTTAATTCGTTTTCTTTTGAAAAGTTGCTTAAGGATAGAAGTGAAACCTTGAGGTCAGAACACTAGACTTTTCTGGTGGTAAATATTCAATGTCTAGAATCAAAACAAAACCACGCATTATCTTAGGAGCCCAGGAGGTCAGCCCAGCCCCTGGTCATGCCAGTCACCTCCCAGCACACCCAGGACACACTGCCCTGGTGCTGGGTGCCGAATTGGGGGACATGATGCAAGCAAGGTCTCTGTCCTCAAACACTAGACTGAAATATGTTGATGGGCCTCCCTGGTGGCGCAGTGGTTGAGCGCTGGGTTGCAAAACTGCCCGCAGCCTCTGCAGCACTTGTTCGATCACCGGTGCGGGACCCACATGGCGCGCAGACCTCTCCTGCTGCCCGCTGCTCCCCTCAGCAGTGTACTTCATCAGTCTGCCTGTTCTGTTCCCTGTTCTGGCTCTAGTGAATTCTCTCACTCTCCCGTGCTTCTGACTGTACCCAGTGCTTGTATAAATAAATAAATCTTAAAAAAAAAAAAAAAAAAGAAATATGTTGACAAGGACTTTGTTGGTCCTATGTCCCCACTCCCTGGCTTTTTAACCCTAGAGTGCAGAAATTGGAGCCAAGAGAATGGCACCTGGTTGCTCAGAGTGGGGAAGGACTTGGGTTTTGAACAAATAAGGACAGGAACAGATATTTTTGGTAAAAGAGAGAGCAAAACCTGATTTAGACAGATAGGCATCAGCAGGTGGAATACGGGAGTAAAAAGGGTGTGCTAATTCAAAGGACATATTATTATTATTATTATTTTTTTTAAATATTAAATTTTATTTTTATATTCCCCTATACAATTGCAAACGCCCCATTCTGACCCCAATCCTTCCCCTCCCGCCCCCCACCCCCCAAAAAGTGTCTCTGGTTCATAGTTTTTTGTTGATTTTGATTTTCACTTGCTTATATTCATTTTCCTGGTCCCTTATTTAAGTTTTCTAGATTCCTGCTATGAGTGAGACCATCCGGTATTTTTCTTTTTCTTTTTGGCTTATTTCGCTGAGCATGATCCCTTCCAGTGCCATCCATGTTGCTGCAAATTGCATGTGTTTATCTTTTTTGAATGCTGAGTAATATTCCATGGTATATATGTACCACATCTTCTTGATCCAGTCATCTATTTTTGGGCATTTGGGTTGTTTCCAAAGCTTAGCTATTGTAAACAGTGCTGCTATAAACATAGGAGTGCAGGTGCTCTTTGGAATTGATGTTTCTGTGTCCTTTGGGTAAATACCTAGGAGTGGAATTGCTGGATCATATGGAAGCTCTATGTTTAGTAGGTCCAGAAATCTCCACACAGCTCTCCATAGTGGTTGGACCAGTTTGCACTCCCACCAACAGTGCACAAGAGTTCCTTTTTCTCCACATCCTCGCCAACATTTGTTGTTGCTAGTTTTTTTAATATGTGCCATTCTCACTGGTGTGAGATGGTATCTCATGGTAGTTTTGATTTGCATTTCCCTGATTACAAGTGATGTTGAACATTTTTTCATATGAAGGACATATTATTTTGATCACTTTTCTCTGTGAGAAGATCATCTGATGCCATTTAAATAAAAACTGGAGCCCAGGATGCATTTAGCAAAGAGAATAATCAGAGGGATTTGTCAGGATCCAGTACTACTGACTTTGCTGGACTGGTAGCTTGGTATTCCTGATTCCATCTCGGATGATGAAATTCTAGAAACTGGCTAAATTCAATTTCAGAGGGAGTCTTGGCATGCTCCTGATCACCTCTGGTGGTTGCTTACAAAATGTAGCCCACTTTCCAACATGCAGACTAGGAATGTCTTCTTGTCCAACGTGGAAGGCGTGGACGACCTGGACTGACTTTCTTCTTCTTTTCATCCAGTTTTGTTGAGAGGTGACTGACATATATTACTGTAGAGGCTGAAGGCATCCAGTGCCATGGTTTGACTCATGAAAGTTGTGAAATGGTGGCCACGATGGGCGCAGGCTGCCTTCTTGACCATCAGTCACAGTTAGGATGTCCTGGTGCTTAAAATAGCCTTGAGAGTTCAGGAGGGGCAAGTATATGGGGGGAGCATTCAAAGACCAGAGAGGGCAGAGCCTTCCTCAGGGTCACACAGTGAGTCAGACTGAGGTCAGAGCCAAGTCTCACATCCCCACTGTACCCCTCAAAAGTAAATGGCTTCCTAAGTACTGTGGGAGCTAGAAAAAGCTTAGAAATGGAGGCCTAACAGGAACCAGGTAGGGGGTGAATGCAGAACTATGCCCAGGTCAGAACCTTTGCCTCCTCTCTCCACCTCATAGTTTGACTCATGAAGGCGCCTGCATCAGTTTTTCTTGCTGAAATTTTTGTATTTATTTCCAACATCTGTAAGTCAGCGGATTTTAGATAATAAATGTTTTATATAATTAAGGCTTTTTTTAATATAATTAAGGCTTTTATGTGAGCTTTCTGTCTGTCTAGAAATTTTTGGATGATCTGGCGAGGGCAAGCTGTCATTCCCACAGGGCGACAGTTAAGTGGACTGAGCAGCCTGGCTTGCTCTAGGTCACGTGGGGCTTCTCCCTTCTGCCCCCGTCTGCCGGCTCTCTTTTCCCTTATTTGTCAGGAAACTGGCATCTTTAGACAGCTTTCTTAGGCCTGGACAGGGGTGGCTGCTTGGTTGAATAACTAGTGAATGTCCTGGACCCAACCTCCCCGAGGGCCTGAAGAACCTTGAATATTTCCGAAGTCCTATCCAACCATTTAATCAAAACAAAGTGACTAAATGACCTTGTCTCATCAGAAACCAGGGGGCAGCTGAAAGGCCAACAGTGTTGAGCCTTCCTCTGGATCCACCACGAGTCAATAAGGAAGCAGAGTTTATACAGCACAAAAGTCCTCCCTGCTCCAGTCTGAGCCTCGCCTGCCACTGGGGGAAACCAGCTGGTGGGGAATTGTTTGCAGGTTCAAACTCAAGCCTTATGCTTCCTATACTGATACATACTCTGCTCTCTTTTTTCTCCCATAGAATCAATTTGTACGAGTTGATGAAGAATAATAGCTTTCAAGGTTTCAGTCTGTCGATAGTTCGGCGCTTCACACTCTGTGTTTTGAAATGTTTGCAAATGCTTTATGTAGAGAAAATCATTCACTGTGATCTCAAACCTGTGAGTAACAACCTCTGTTCTGCTGAGGATGTGGTTCTCGGTCTTAGAAGTCTTTGATCCTTTCCATCTTCTAGTGGTTGCTGGGCCGCCATCTTGGCCAGGGACCCAGGGTGGAAACCCAGTGGCAAGGTCCATGGCACCACAGAGGCTTGCCCAAAGCGTGGTTATTGGCAGAGTGAAGAAAGATATGGTGTCACAGAGGCAGCTGGTGACAGAAAAGCCTGAGGGATTTCTTATGGAAAGTGTAGGGGTGTGCAGAGACATGTGCCATGTGGGGGGCCGATCGCTGTAGCTTACTAAATCCTCACTCTGTGCACTCTACGCTGATCCCAGGGCACAGCAGTCCCTTTCCACCACCTCTGTTCCAAATGGACATGCCTGGATACACACTCTGCTGGTTTTCTGTACTTAGCTCTATGGTGACTACTTTGGGGAGCAATTTTTTTCTTATCTTATCTGTATACTCTACTGGACTGCAAGCTTCCCCTAGGTGAGGAAACATGTTTTCCCACCACTTTTGCCCCCAGGACCTTAACATGGTGTCTGACAATAGTAAGAACTTAATAAATAAATTCCCTGTTAGAGGCATTAATTATTCATATGTGAGGACTACAGAGGGGTAAATAGGGAAAGGAATAAGGGTGGGAAGATATGGGGTCAGGAGCTGGTTCCCCAAACCTGACCCTCACAGATATGTAAATATCACTTAATATCTCCTCATCCCCCAATGTGGTTTAAACTTTATTTTAATGTATTTTATTTTTATGTAATTCTTATATCAGTTTTCATTTTTGCACAATGTATGCATTTTCATTTTGGTTATAGTCCCCATACAATTCCCACCCCTCTTATTTTGATTCTAATCCCTCCTCTCCCCCCCCACCCCCTAGTGTGTCTCTGGTTTATAGTTTCTTGTTGATTTTCATTCTTTATTATAATTAGTCTTTAGCTATATGGAAATTCCTCAACCTACTAAAGATAGAGCTTCCATATGATCCAGAAATTCCACTCCTAGGTATTTACCCAAAGGACACAGAAACATCAATTCAAAAGGGCACCTGCACCCCTATGTTTATAGCAGCACTATTTACAATAGCTAAGCTATGGAAACAACCCAAATGCCCAAAAATAGAGGACTGGATAAACTTTTTTTTTTTAACACTGGAACTCATTGGGTAGTCGGGGATAGTTTTACAATTAAAGATTGTCAAGATAGAGCTAATATTTAGGACCAGTAGAGCCTCATAGAATGTTGGTACTATGTTTTTTCTTTGCATCCAAGTTCTTAATCCTCGACTTTGCAGCTCCAAAGGGTCACAACACACATGTCCTTGGGCTCGAGGATATGACTCTTACAGAGAAATTCCTAAGACTCTTGGTTGCCAACATGCCAGGTAATAGATTTCTCTGAGAAGTCTATACATCAGCTAGACTGTGTCTGCCCAATGGGGATATGTACACACAACCAGAAGAGTGTGTTTGGTGAGTGTGGATTCAAGGCTGAGGGAATTAGTCGTATGGAGCTGATGGTTACTGATGGGGGTGATGATCTGATGCATCCTTTCCCTCCACAGGCTGGAGGGCTCATGCCATCCAGGGAATGGGGCTGTCCACTGAGCTAGAGACATGATAGAAATACTTGCTCATTAAAGGTTTTTGCTGATCATACTCTCATTTAACACAGGTATCCCTTAAAAAAAATACTATGGACTGAATTTGTTCCTTCATTGTTGGTGGTGCGAGAGGCTTCAGAATAGGCCCGCTAGGGCAGATCTAGAATATTAGGGGTTCAGGAAGCTGTTTGCCCGATGCTCATAATAATCAATTTATCTGATGCTGAAATCCTTGAAACATGATTAGGACTTGAACCTTCTAGCCCTGGGTATGTACTTTCCTGCTCTGAGAACGGGCCCGGAGCACTCCCTTCTTATCCATGATCTGTTAGAAGACCGGGTCTCACATTTTCCCCAAAGTCAGCATATGAACTGTGGACTCCAGTCAAATGGTGGCCTGAGGTTTGGGTCCTCATGTGTAGATGGGACACCTCATGGAGACATCATATTCAGCCAATGATATTTCTAAGGCCTTATACAAGCAAAGTGAAGGTGCTAAAGGACATAAAAATAAAGCCATATATTCAGGAGGTGCACAATCTAAATGGGAAAAGAAGCAAAATATGTGCAAAAGAAATACTGCAAAGCAGCAAATATAGGATCCAAACAAGAGGTGCAGACCACAAGTCGACTGGGACATCAGAGGGAGAGGACAGTGGCATCTGGAGAAGATGTGGGTGGGCCACACTCGTGGGCAGTGCCATTTTTAACTGGTCCTGGAGGATGGCAGGCATTTCGGTGACTAGAGTTTCTCGTGATTAGAATTGACATGTCTTCTTCTTCTCTAGGAGAATATAGTGTTATATCAAAAGGGCCAAGTCTCTGTTAAAGTTATTGACTTTGGATCAAGCTGTTATGAAGACCAGAAAGGTAGGCCTATTCCAGCACTCTTGTCTGAGTTTCCTTTGCAAGTTCTCTCCCTCCATGAAACAGATTCCTCACACATGGGTGATCTGGACTCAATCACAGCAATTACTCTGTCATGATTTTAATCAGGGCACATCACATCCCAAAACCCAAGTTCCCCCACCTATAAAATGTGAAGATGGGACTCAAATCCCTTACTGGTCCTTTGCAATTCTGAAGTATGTTCTGGAGAGAGAGCTTTTCCTACAGGAGCTTTTGTTCTTTCCCCGGCAGTGTACACCTACATCCAGAGCCGGTTCTACCGATCCCCGGAGGTGATTCTTGGCCATCCCTACAACATGGCCATTGACATGTGGAGTCTGGGCTGCATCATGGCGGAGCTGTACACTGGCTTCCCTCTGTTCCCTGGGGAGAATGAGGTGGAGCAGCTGGCCTGCATCATGGAGGTGAGAGGATGCGCCTGGCTGCAGGGAGTCTGAGGTGCAGCCACATGGCTGGCTTCCCTCTCAAGTCTCGGGCTACATTAGACTCACTGGAGGACAGAGCCCTGCTTGCTTTTCTTTTTTGGTTGGATATTCCCTAAAAGTATTTTTGAAATCATGTATCCCTTGTGTGCACTTTTGGGGTGATATCTAATATTTTTATCATGCATTTAATAGTTGCAAAAGATATCATTTCTAGCATGCAGACATACCCCATGTCATTACATGGGGTATGTAATGACATTTCAGCCAACAGTGGATCTCACATATGACAGTGGCCCTCAAATTCCTATTGCCCAGCACCCTTCATAAAGTCTTAGTATCTTACTCTGGCAGGAGCCTCATACATTTCTATGACGTTCACACAAAGACAAAATTCCCTAATGTTCCATTTCTTAGAACGTGTCCCTGCTGTTAAGTGGGGCATGACTGTGTTGTTAATAATGATATTAAAAAATAAAACTCTTACATCAGACTGTCAGATATATTCAAAAGAATCTAGAAGCCGGGATGAGATGACACCCATCAAAATCTACCTATTATCCAGACACCCAGTTAAAAGACTTTTCTAGACTCATTACATGAATATTTATTATACTTGCTATGCTGTTACTTAAAGGGATCTTGTTATGGAACTAAATTAGACAAATAGGAGAAAATAACCCTAAAATTGGAAAGTTACATTTTAGAATTTTCTCTGTAAACAAAGATATTTTAACTCAGCAAAGTTCTAATTCTATTTATCTATCAGTCCACCCATCCACCCCAAACTTCTATTTTCTAGATTGTCTCAAAGTTACAGATAGTCAAATAGATATACACATCCTTAAGAGCTATTATTTATAAATAGGTCATTTCACTTTGTGGCTAAAACTAATAATCAACTAGAATAATTTGGGAAATAATAGCCATGAGAGATAACCATGGGGAATGAACACTGGCCTGGGAACCCATGTACCTGGCTCTTTCTTTTTGGCAGGTCACCTCCCTGCTCTGGAATTCTGTAAAGTGAAGGCATCAGAGAGGATGGCTTCTAAGGTTGATGATAAATGATTTAAGGAAGAAGCTCTGAACCTGCTCCCAGTATCAAGGAGAATGGGGAGCATGAGATCTGTGTTGAGGTTCTGACTGCACTAGGACTAATTCAGCCTCCTCCTGGCTTCGGTGTCAATAGGGTTGAGGAGCAGGGGGCAGGGTCAAACATAGATATGACTGGAAACCCTCTTGCTGGGAGAGGTGATGTGTAGGCCCGTAGCTTGCAGTGGGCTTTTTTCTTTTCCAGAAGGTGTTTTGTCATATAGTGATCTATCTGGTGATTTCCATATTTCCCAGTGTGCCAAGCTAGATTGTCATTCCCTAATGCAGGGGTGGTCAGCTTGAATACTGGTTTATTTCCTCTGACGGCGAGACCTGGTTGCCATCAAGAGTGCCTACCTCTAGTTGAGGCCTAGTTAGAGTAGAATGGCCAGTGAAACAGCCAAGGTTGGGGGCAGAAGACTCTGGGCCTGCTCCACCACTGACTTGATGCTGTTACTCATATCCCGGTTCTTATCTGTAGAAGGCAAAGTTTAGCCAGAATCCCACCCAGCACTAATAGTGTTTGAATGAACCCACACCATGCATTTATTGAAGGTGCTGGGCCTGCCACCAACCCGCTTCATTCAGACGGCCTCCAGGAGACAGAAATTCTTTGGTAAGTTCTCTTTATCATGTTATGGTTAATGGGTTGTCACAGGACTTGAATACACCACCCACATCCCAAGCCCCACTTGATACTCTTTCCCTGGCCCCATCCCAAGCTGTGATTAGGAGTTTCTTTCAGAAAAGTAAAAAGATGCCAAGGAATGTTACCAGATGATGAGATGGAGGTGGGCTAGAGAGTCACATCTGTGATGAGTTAATGATTCTTGACAATGAAAATGCAGGAGGAGAACAACCATGTTCCTGGTCAGAAGATCCATCCATGGATCTTGAAATTTCAAAAATTACTACTGTACACTCTCCTATGAGTTCTCCCTGCATCACCAAGCAGCTTGACACCCTCACACTATGTACCGTGCAGAGAAATAAAAGAGCAGAAACTTCAAGAATAATGGCAAATTCCATTGCTATAGTCTATCAATAATGGAACATTCTTCTTCCCTGCTGAAATTCTCTTAATCCCTCAGACCCTTACTATTCTAAGCTCATTGTAACATTGGTACAAAGTGGGTAAGCAAGGGCTGTCAGAGCAGATGACTGTGGATATGTGTAGCTTGCCAGTGATGTATAGAATATCTGTTTCGTTGCTGGAATTAAGCCTTACCCATGGCCCCATGCTGATTTTTATGATCTGCTGCCTTCTGTTCAAGCAGAGCTATACAGTATGGTCCAACTGAAGCAGACTTCCAGGGCAATAGTCACCAAAAAGATAAGTCAGTCCCACATCTAAAATTCCTTTGAAGAACCATAAAAAAACTAAGGGATTCCTGTGTAGAAAAATTCATAGTGATCCAAAGGTCAGCCAAGTGGAGCAAAACCATGCACAAGAGCCAGGGAGGGGATCCCTCAGACAGGGCCCTGTGCCACCTGGAATGACATTCTGACAAGCTGTAGTCAGGCTCCTCTGGCTGAGGCGTCCCATCATCCTGAGCCCTCCCACTTCATATTTTCAACTGAAAGTAGTCTCAGAGTCACATGATTTATCTTCACAAGTTGTGCCCCATCAACAAAAGCATCAAAAACATCTTCTTGGGGATCTCCCTGGACAAAGTGTTTCAGTCACATTGGTGTTTAGTCAGTATGTACTGGTTCAGCCACGTGGGGTTAAAATATAGTCTGTTTTTGTGTCGTTTGGTAAAAAGTCACAGCCTAGAGTTCTTACCACAGCAACATGCTCCCTGGCCCCTCCTCCAAAACCCCTTGGGCTACTCATGGCCTACAGACTAAAAGTTTAAGACCTGGCAAGCAGGTTGTCCATGGCACTACTTCATTGCCAAGGCTGCCATCTCTCTGACTGCCCGGGCCATTGCATTCCAATGGTTAAATCTTTTAAACAAAACCTTGTAGCTATAGGCCTCCCTGGTGGCTCAGGGATTAAAGATAGCGCTGTCAAGCTATCACCAGCCACTGCAACACGAGGTCGATCCCCAGTCAGCCAGGAAGGTGACCCACATGGCGCAGCAGCCCTTTCCTTGCCTCACCTGCTGCTCCCCTCAGCAGTGTATTTCAGTAGATCCACCTGTACTACTCCCCACTCTGTCTCTGGTGAATCCTCTCATCCCCTGTACCTCCCCCACCCCCGTTCTTGTATGCATAAATAAATAAATCTTAAAAAAAAAAAACACCTTGCATTTAGGCAGGAACTTTGAATACAGCTTCTGAGAAGGGTCAGGGGCCTGGGTTGCCTAATAATGGTGCTGCCATACCTACCTTTCTAGAGCAGTCTGATGGTGGGCAGATGGTCCGGGTCACTCACTGGTCAGACTTAACACACAAAGCAATAAACTGACCTTTTGACTCCGTATTTACTTTCCCACTCATCACTTATAATTCAGTCTTTTGGATTTTGAAGGATTTGGGGAAGAAAAGTAGGGCTATTGGTGTTTCCTCCTGTTAGACAAAGTCACATCATAAGCCTAGAACACTAAATTCAAGGTAGTGTGTGGGTGGGACTGAAAGGATGTTATCTAGGATGTCTTGGGAAAAGCAAACCAAAGGCAGGTGACACATAGATGTCAATTTCATAGGGTCCAATTTTTACTGTCCCCACTAGGCTTTAGAATGGTGATGTGGTTTTGGAAGCCACATCTTTATATCTTCACTTCCTACATAAAGAAGGAATGTATTGGGAGCTGCATCCACTTTGCTGTTTCCAAGACTTTATCTGATTATGTAAATTGTTTTGGGTACTTGGCAAAAAGTGCTAAATCCACGATCCTCCTGTACAACTGGTGATACAGTAGGCTTGAGGTGGGACTGAGGACTCATTTGGTAATAGCAGCTCCTTGTAATTCTTACAATTAGTATGATCACACCCAGTAATTACAAAAGTTATAAAACCAATTTATTGTGCACCTTCTAGAATGTCTTTTACGTGAATCCTACTGAATTTTTGTGAGAATTCAATTTAATGTGTACAATGTATGTGTGGGTATATGCGTGTCCATCTGTTTACATGGTGTGAGCATAAGCAGTTAATTTTCTGAACATGTATAGGAGAATTTATATGTCCAAAGGGAAAGAGGGGCCTCACCTTCAGAGAACAACAAAAAGCACTCTCAGGAAACCTTTGGAGCTACCTTCAGGGCCTCTTTCCAGACAGACAAATCATACATTTGGTGGGGGCTTTCATCAGTGGAAATGGCTGAACAAAGTCATTCCAAGCTGTCTCCATCAACCAACCAAATCTGATCATTCCAATTACAGGCAAAATTTTAATATAATTATAAAGAATTAATGAGATTAATTTGTGTGGATTTTTTTTCCTTAAAAAAATTCCTCATTTATTTAGCATAGAGGAACTAGGGTGTATGCTACAGGTGAGGGGTTGAGGGTGAGAAGATTCACCAGAGAGTGGGGAGCAGAACAGGTAGGTCTACTGAAATACACTGCGGAGGGGAGCAGCAGGAGAGACAGGAGAGGTCTGCTGAGCCATATGTGGGTTAGCTCCCTGGCTGGAGAGGTGACAGTGCTGAGACTTAACCCCTAGACCACCAGGAAGGCCCAATATTTGTGACTTGTAAGGAGTTCAGAAAGTGAATCGTAAACTTTCTCCTATAATAACTTATTATACCCCATGGCTAGGGTATAATGTAATGGCCAGAGCTAATGGGGAAGGATCAAAGGCATAGATAATCCAAGAATGGATGATATCTTTTTTGTTCAGAGTGAAATATTCTTGTCACTTCAGATTGAATTATCACCTCATTTTTTATATCATTTAATATCATCATTACTATTTTACTTTAGTTAATGTCAAGCTGTTTTAGCCATTTCATTGTTTCGGGGAGGAGGTGGTGGCAAGAAAGCTCAGAACACACTGAATAGCAGGAAAAACTTCATCAGAGTTGATTGTCTTCATTGGGTAATCTACATGTGGGTTATTTCGGACTGACTGGGTATGATTGTGTGTCGGCGGGGGTGGAGTGAGGGTGGCAGGGGAACAGTACATAGAGAGTTACAAAAGCCACTTCAAGAAGCAGCATGGTTGAATGAGCAGCTGTGATGTGACTTATGAATATTTACACCTGGAACTAAACACAGAATGTTGTATCTTTAAAGATTCCAAAGGTTTTCCTAAAAATATAACCAACAACAGGGGGAAAAAAAGATACCCGGATTCCAAGGATCTCACAGTGGTGCTGAAAACCTATGACAGCTGCTTCCTGGACTTTCTCAGAAGGTGTTTGGTGTGAGTTTGTTGGAGTCTTTTTGCCTCTGGGCTTCCTCATAAAATATGTACTTTCCTACATTGGCGGGTGAAAGCCTGGGACTGGGGGACAGTTACTAAAAACAACACTAATAAGAACTGGCCATAGAGCTTTAGAGTCTGCAGAATGTTCCCGTCTGCTGCCTCACCAGACTTTCTCCCCATCCTATGTGACTGACAAGGGCAGATGATTTACTCTGTTTTGAGATAGGAGGGTGAGGCTAAGGAGATTAAATGACTTGCCTGGATTCCCCAATGTATGGGTAGACCCTTGATTTCTTTGTGGCCTCAAACTGCCTGGCAGGGAGGGGTGTAGGCATGTTCTAAAAGTCTTTATCCATGAACTCTTCAGCATGCTTGTAACTGTCTGCACACACTCCTAGTATAAGCTGGTTTCAGGGCCCCACTGAGATCCCCTAAAATTTAAAGCCTTAAATTATCTTGTACTGTGGAGTAAGGTAAAGGATGATCTGTATACCATTTATTCTGCATAGTTTTTAGACCCAATTTGCATATTTTGAATCTTAGAAATTAGCTTTTGTTCTTCAGTCAAGTTACAGTAAACAAGGATTAGCCACATAATATTTGACAAGTGATTGTTTCTGTGTCTCAGTTTCTTTTTCTATAAAATGAGGAATTCCTAAGGTCTCTTCCAGCTATATCAGTCCTATAATTATTCTGTATTTTTAGAAAACCTTATCTTTATGTTCTCTCATCCTTCCAGTGGGATGCAGCAGTTTAAAAAAAATGCTTTTCTGGCATTTGTGCACCCTGAAATCTAGGTATTAGCTCAGAAGATAATCAGTTACGTAGATAGAAAATGCTACTCATCTAAAAATTGAAAATAGAGAAGGACGAGCCTCTCCGGTGGCGCAGCTGTTGAGCACTGGGCTGCAAAGCTGCCCACAGCCTCTGCAGCACCGGTTCGATCCCCAGCCACCAGCGAGGGTCCCACATGGTGCACAGACCTCTCCTGCTGCGACTGCTGCTCCCTTCAGCAGTGTACCTCGGTCCTTTTGCCTGTTCTGCTCCCTGCTGTGGCTCTGGTGAATTCTCTCACCCTCCCATGCTTCTGACTGTCCCCACTGCTTGTATAAATAAATAAATAAATCTTTAAAAAACGAAAAAAGAAAGAAAATAGAGAAGGATCCTATACCCTACCCCACCTCAGCCTCTTGCTGAAGCTGTAGAATGAATATACACTTACAAATGACAGAAATTCACTACTGAGACAGAGGTGAGTTATCCAAAGCTCCAACCATTCAGAACACAGCTCAAAACCAAAAAGGAAAGTTTCTGTGTTAGTGTAAAGGGCTTGGTGCTCACAACTTGAAAGGCTACCTGTTGATATCTTGTACCTGATCAATCCATTGTTCTCCAATTAGCAAGTCTTTGGAATGAGAATAAAAGCTTTGAGTCAAACTTAATACAGATCAATGTAAAGTACTATGCCTAGGTTTTAGAGGCTGACTTTAGAAGTTCAGGAGTGGGCAGATGTATCTTCAAAGCAGTTTATTTGACAAAGAATTGAGAGTTTGACTTATGACTTTGATGTTTTCTATTCTCAATATGGTAGACACTAATTAGATAGCAGTTGAAATTTCCTGTCTTGGAAGGTACAAGTATATCATGTGATCAATAATTAATAGTGATGTACATGTTTTCAGATTAAGTGTTGTGCCATAAAAGGCAGACTGTCTCATTCGATATAATGCCAATGAGTAGAATTAGGATGTGACTCTAAGTTACTAGGATAGAAGTTCCTGGGACACGAATTTTAGCTCAATAGAAATGAACTTTTAAAGGATTGGAGCTTTTAAAAGTTGGAATAACTAGTCCTGTTAGTATTTGGTCAGTATACCTACTCGATGGCACGAGGCTCCCATATTGGGGGTTCTGTCAAATGTATTTTGCCACTGAATTAGAAATTTGACTGGATAATATCTAAGTTCCTGATATTCCTACTATTCTAGCATTCTATAATGTTCTTTGTTTCTGGAGGCCCAAATTCTATAATTTGAAAATTGATATTAAGCATCTTTGTTTTGATCTTAGTTAACAGGACCCTAAATCTTATTGAAATTTTCTATATTTCCTGTAAAGGAATTTCTAGAAACTCTGAAAGACTTGGATTCTAATATATTCCCTGTCTTGTCATATAAATTTTCTTAAAAGATTATTTCCAATAGCTGTTTACATGTAATTTAAAGTTATAAATCTCTTCTATATTGGTGTCTTTGTATTGTAACATAGTTTAAATAGGTTCTTTAAAAAATAACTACGGGCCTCCCCGGTGGCGCAGCGGTTGAGCACTGGGTTGCGAAGCTGCCCGCAGCCTCTGTGGCGCCGGTTCGATCCCCGGCTGCTCCCCGGCCACTGGAGGAGGGTCCCACATGGCGCGCAGACCTCTCCTGCCGCCCGCTGCTCCCCTCAGCAGTGTACTTCGGTCCTTCTGCCTGCTCTGCTCCCCGCTCTGGCTCTGGTGAATTCTCTCACCCTCCCGCGCTTCTGACTGTACCCAGTGCATGTATAAACAAAACAAACAAACAAATAAATAAATAAATAAAGCATGCCTCTATAAAAAAAAAAAAAAAATGATGCCCTTTTAAAAAAAAAAAATAAATAAATAAAAAATAACTACTTTTAAAATGAACTACCTTATTGAGCATCTTTATTTGGGGGGGTCTTTGAAAATGTTTTGTCATAAACAAGGGAAACAAAACAATAACCTGTGTTGGACTTTGTTGGTGTGTAGATGGGAACCTTCTCTCCGCATGACTCCTGACCAGGCCCTTAGACATGCTTGGATTCATGAGCCACGGACCTTCAAGCCACGACCCAGGCCCCAGATCCTGAGAAAATCCAGTCTATATTTCCCTTCAGAGGCAAGGAAGGACAAGACTCAAAATTACCAACATTTGGACAAAAAAGGTACAGCCCCTCAACAAACTGGTCCTGTATCCACAGTCCAGGAGTCAGACATCTCTGGAGGATTTGCATGCCAATTTCTCTGAACTCAGCCTTATTATTTTTTTAAGATTTATTTTATTTATTTATGCATACAAGAGTTGGGGTGTAGGCCAGAAGTGCAGGGGGTGAGGGGTAAGAGGATTCACCAGAGACAGAGTGGGGAACAGAACAGGCGGATTGACTGAAATACACTGTTGAGAGGAGCAGCAGCCGAGTCAGGAGGGGTCTGCTGTGCCACGCGGTTCAGCTCCCTGGCCAGGGATTGAACTCATGTTGCAGTGGCTGCAGACAGCATCATAGTGCTGAGACTTAACCCCTTGAGCCACCAGGAGGCCCCCTGAACTCAACTTTGAGTAATTATTCTGAATACATCACTAGCAGCTTACCATTTCTTTTTTTTTTTTTTAATTTTGTAGAGGCATGTTTATTTATTTATTTATTTGTTTGTTTGTTTTTTGTTTATACAAGCACTGGGTACAGTCAGAAGCGCGGGAGGGTGAGAGAATTCACCAGAGCCAGAGCAGGGAGCAGAGCAGGCAGAAGGACCAAAGTACACTGCCTAGGGGAGCAGCGGGCGGCAGGAGAGGTCTGCGCGCCATGTGGGACCCTCCTTCTGTGGCTGGGGAGCAGCCGGGGATCGAACCGGCGCCGCAGAGGCTGCGGGCAGGTTCGCAACCCAGCGCTCAACCGCTGCGCCACCGGGGAGGCCCAGCTTACCATTTCTTACTTTAGAATTTTCTTCCCTCAGAAGTGTGGTTCTAGCTAAGTTCTCCCCTTTTTTTCCCCTTTATCGTTAGGACTTTCCATTTTTCCCCTGTCTTTAATTCCCTTTCTCTACCTTTCCTTCCATTATGTCCTTCTCTGCCCAGTAATTACTTTTGAATTTTTATCAGATTATGGCAATATGAAAAAATATTTTATATGCAATATTATAGCCTAGTGGTTAATGCACAGAGCAATGGAAATCAGGTTGCCTTGGATTAAATTCTGGCCCTGCCATTTACGTAAGCTGTTTCTTCATTTATGAGCATGAGTAGTGCCCATTCTCTATGGTTGCTGAAAAGCAACAAATGAATTAGTGTGACGTGCTTAGAGTAAAGCCTAGAACATAGAATGTTCTTGCCAATGAGTTGTTTTTCTATCATTATAACCAAACTTTCCCCTAAGCCTAGTGGGCATTTGGACTATAACTCACATTTGAATACTTTCTTCTGTCTCCTGGCAGATGTAATCAAAAAAGAGACTACAATCAAGGTAAAAAATGGCGGCCCTAAGCATGTTCAGAATTCAGGTGATCTGCAGGGCTCTCTTCAGTGTCCAGCTGAAGGTGTCCAGCTGCCTCATCTAGTACAAGCTTCCAGAAAGCCAGAGGCAGCTGTCAGGCCAGAGGAGTCCAAGGCCTCCACAGACCAACAAGGCAAGAACTCCTCCCCCAGGAACTTGAACACTTTACCGCCTCTTGTGTGACTGTTGATGAGGGTGTGTCTTGTTTCTTTCCACCAATCATTTGTATTAGAGATGGCACTAATATTGTACAATATTTCACATTGTTGTTTTTTTAATGCATAAAGCTTTTTTTTTTTTTTAAAAAAAGAACAACCTCTTCACATGGCCAGTTGGCGTGATTCCTCTTACATGCAGGATAAGAGGATGTCCTTCACTCCCTCCTAACATCCCTCACCAGATAAAACATGGGGTAGATGTGTGGTGGGGGCTTCTTTTAATTATTCAATGTTATAGCATTAGTAGAACCCCAAATAAAATTTTCTTCTTCTCCAAGACATAACTATGTCAGGATTCTTGTTTGAAAATTATAGAAGCTGAAATCAAACTAATTGTAATTTTTTGTTATTTTTTAAATTTTTTACATCATTGTTCATTTTTAAACAATATTTGCTTCCCCCCACCCCCTCAGGTGTAGTCCCCATAGTTTCCTTCACCAATGCACCCGTGCACCATCACCTCAGTCCCCTGTGCTCCTCCCTCCCTCCCTCTGATCCCTCTCCCTCCTCCTCCCCTGCAGGATGTCTCTGATTTATAATTGTCTTTGTTTTGTTGTGTTTTGTACTGTTATTTTTTGACACTGATGTCTTATTTGGTTCCCCTATATTCCTGCTATAAGTGAAACCATGTGATATTTTTCTTTTTCCTTCTGGCTTATGAAATCAAGCTAATTTAAATAACACAGGACACTGGTTTATATAATTGGGGAGATAGTGTGGGGTGAGTTAAGTGTGGTTTCAAACACAGCAGGCTCTCAGAACGCAAATAAGCTCACAGAGCTCAGACTCCCTCTCCATCTATTAGCCTAGCTTCTTTACATGGTAACTTCATAGTGATGACCAGCTCTGCCAGCAGGTAAGATGACCACTGATGTTCATATCTGGTAGTAGTGGTGGGACAGAGGGCTTTCCTAAAGAAGGAAAGTTGAACAAACAAAAGATGTGTATACTCACCCGCTGCCCCTAAGTGTAATCACATCCACTGATGTATTTGCCGTTCTAATTCTTATCCTCATGAATATGTAATTGCTATACGGTTGAGCTTAAATTTCTTGTAAAAATTCTCTCTGTGGGCCTCCTCAGTGGCGTAGCGGTTGAGCGCTGGGCTGCGAAGCTGCCCACAGCCTCTGCAGCGCCGGTTCAATCCCCAGCCCCCCGCGGGGGTCCCACATGGAGCGACAGACCTCTCCTGCCACGCCTGCTGTTCCCCTCAGCAGTGTGTTTCGTCAGTCTGCCTGTTCTATTCCCCGCTCTGGCTCTGGTGAATTCTCTCATCCTCCCGCACTTCTGACTGTACCCAGTGCTTGTATAAATAAATAAATAAATATTAAAAAAAAATTCTCTCTGTATTAAGGTCATCATAACTTCACAAACAAATGAAAATATACCTGCTTCACAGTTTTCATCCCTGTCTAATATTCCACGAGGGGAGATGCCAGGTCACTGAAACTACGGGTTTGGATGATATCACCCAGGGAAGATGATTAGCATTAGAATAAGAGGTTCAAGAGAAAGTTCTAGGAAAAATAAATATGGGGTTGACAGAATTGAGCAGCACATGCAAGAGGTATAGAACCCCAGAGGAACAAAAAGTTTCCAGAAGGAAAAGAATTAACAACAGAAAATGTTTCTTAAGTGGGGCGACAAGTCAGCAGTATCTTAACAGGTGTCTTGTCCCGGGTTCTACAGACAGTAGGTGCACAGGGATGCAGGTGTTCTGAACCTTTTTGACACCAACTATCTTTAACCGTGGATAGAGCTAAGGTGGATGGTAGTTCTCTAGCTCTACAGAGGGAACAGGAATATCATAATCCAAATGATTTAGGCTGGATATTAGAAAACATTTCCTGTTGCATGATGATAAAAGGCTGAAATGACTTTTGATATATGTGGCTCGTTTGTGGGCACACTGTAGAGGAGGGGAGCTACAAGTTGGGGGGAATATGCAGGGAACAGGCTGATGGTCTTTGACAGGCCTCTCAGCCTGGCACTGTTTTGCTTCTGCAACACCTGAAGGAGGGATGATTATTTTTCATTCCTGAGATTTCTTTACTGTCATGTCCCTTTGAGCCAAGGAAACCAAACACCTGGGGCCCTTTAATTGTAATTTTTTAATTTTTCGTCCTTGCTTGCATGGACAGGAAAATCTGCAAAATCCAATGAGTAGCATACGATGATCTTTCTTTGACGAGAGTGCTAGGTAGATAATGTGAGGGCTCTGTGAGAATATGGAGTTGGGGTGGGGGCTGTGGAGGTGAGAAAGAAGGCGGGCCACAGGGGGAGGGAAAGTGGCAGGTGGAGCCGGTCACAGGTTCAACATCAGCCAGTCCAGCAGCTGCAGCCGCGTGACGTTGCCCACCGCCTCGTCCAGCTGTCGCTCCTTCTCGTAGCGCAGCACCGACTGCAGCACCTCCCCGACGCTGCGGCCCTTCTCCACCGCGGCAGCAGAGAGCTGAAGTAGCTGTGGAAAGGAGAGGAGGCAGCAGTGAAGGGCAGAACATCCCACAGAGGGCTGAGAGGGCCAGCCCGCCTAGAGCAGAGAGACCACATAGACTTTGGGCAACTGAGCCAGTAAGCACTCAAATGAGATGTTGAGAGGACATCCTGACCCATTCGACAGAAGAAAGTTGGTAGATAAAATGGAATACCAAAAAATGCAGGAAGGAAAGATAAAATAAATAAAACAAATATTAAAATGACATCTGCCTCATGTCATACACAAAAAATGAATTCGAAATGGTTTGAAATTAGCAAACATTTAGAAGAAAACAAAGGATAACATCTTTATGACTTCTGGATAAGTCAGTATTGCAATCTGGCTCCACCAACCTTATGAACTGAATCTCTGCCATGGGGCCTTCCATACACTACCACATGGTTAGTAGCAGAAGAGGCCTCTCAGCACTACACTCCAGTAACAAGCCTGCTCCCGGTTGAGATGACAAAATATATCTCTAGACATTGCCAAATGTCTCTTGGGGGCAAAACTGCCTCAAGTTGAGAACCACTGAGCTAGGCAAAGATTTTTAGTTATGTCATCAACAACATAAGCAAGCAAAGCAAACAATGATAAATTAGATGTTATCACTCAAAACTTTGTCCTTTGAAAGACTCCATACTAAGTAAAAAGACAACTCACAGATTGAGAGAAGTTTTTTGCAAATCATATATATGACAAAGGACCTGTAGCCAGAATGTATAAAGAATTGTTTTAACTTTATAACAAGAAAAAAATCAATCCTGTCAAAATATTGGTAAATGACTTATAGCGAAAACTCACCAAAGAAAACATATGGATGGCTAATGAGTATGTAAAGATATTCAATATCCTTAGATATTTTAATGTATGGTTGGCACATTGATTCACAAAGAGGATCACTAATAATAGCAATAATAAAACCAAGAATAATTTTGGGAAGGATGTGGAGAAACTGAAATCCAAACACATACTTTGTTGCTGGGAATGTAAAATTGTAGAGTCATTTTGGAGAACAGGTTTTTAAAAAATCATAGTTACCATAAGGTGCAGCAATTCCACTCCTTGTTACCCAAGAGAAATGAAAATATATGTAAGTGAATGTTCACAGTAGCGTTATTCATAGTAGCAAAGACTGGAAGCAATCCAAACGTCTATTAACTGGTGAATGGATAAACAAAAGGTAGTATATACTCATATTATGAAATACTTTCCATCAATACAAGAAACTGAACACTGATACATATTACAACATGGATAAACCTCAAAAACTTTATGTTAAGTGAAAAATTGCATATGTTATGACTTACATAAAATGTTGGGAAGAAAGGCAATCTACGATAACAGAAAACAGCACATTCACTGTCTGTGGCTGGGGGCAGAAACTAGAAATGTATGCTGGAAAATTCTGAGATAAAGATATAGGGTGTCTAGTCTTATCAGATATTAAAACATTATAGAATTGTAGAATTAAAATAGTATGGTATTAAAATAGTAAGAACAGAAGAATTCACTGGAATAGAAGAGAAAGTTCAGAAAAAGAACCAGAGACATATTTATCTGGAAAAGACAGATTGCATCCTACCTCATGCCTTATATAAAAATTCATTCAAAATGGATCAGATTTAAATGTCTCTTAAATATTTAAATAACTTAATATTTAAGATGTAAATAAACATAAAAGTGGTGTAAGTAAACCACTTAATAAAAAGTGGTGTAAGTAAGATGTAAAGTAAGATGTGTAAGTAAGATGTAAGTAAACATAAAAAGAGAAAACATGGGAAAGTTCTGTTAACAGAATTTGCCACAATGTGGCACAAAATCCAAGAAATATAAAAGAAAAAGTGTTTTAGACTTGACTACATAAACATTTAAAAAATTCTGTATGGCAAAACAAAACAAAAGTGCCAACCAAAAGACCAATAACAAAAAGTATATATTTAATATCATAAAGACTGATTTCCTTACATGTATGTATATAAATTTAACAAATTAATAAGAAAAAGACAACCCAACAGAAACAGGGCAGAAGTTATAAAAAAAATCATTCATGAAAAAGGAAAATCAAAAAGGATCTTCATATTCCTACTGATCCCATTCATAAACACAATCATTCATAAACACATTCACTCTCACTTTTAAGACAAAATGCAAAGGAGGCCAACATTTGGCGAAGATCACAAGTTTGGCATTTACTGCTTGTTAAAGTATGGCAAATAGGCACTCCTGTGTTTTTTTAATATGCATGTAAATTGGTGTAAGTTCTTTGAAAGACAACTCAGAAATCGATAGCAAATGTGACTTTAAAATTCTTTTCCTAGGTATTCAGCACATGCAGACACATTTGATCTGTGTATATAACATTGCTCAGTGTAACAAATATTGGATGTATTGATATATATACACACACACGCACACGCACATAACTTCCATAGGGATATAGCTAGAATTGGAAGGTGTATATATACAGAAATACATTATTTGTAGTATTACCATATATAACTTTTAAAAAAGATACATGCATATAAGTAACTGCATGTACATGTAGTTCTGGTAGGACAACAAGAAATTGATTAGAATGGTTTTCTCCAGGGAGGGCCATGGGATGAGAGATAAGGATGATTAAAAAAAAGTCCTTATTTTTCATTGTGCCACCTTTTGATTTTGAACTATGCAATACACTGCTTATTCAAAAATGGCTACAAATCTGTTTAAAGGAATTGGGTTCATGGACATACCACTGTTACTGGGCTCAACCATCTGCATCAGCATGGAACATTTATATATGTTAATTAAATCTCTT